AAAATAAAGAACATAATTACTGAGTTGGAAAAAGGACCACTCCCCTCCTAAAAATGACTTGTAAACTCAATCAGGTGTAGCTACTCACCTTCTCATTGGCAAACAAAGCCATTTGACTTTCAACTGTGATCAGCTGTGGTCATTTTGATTAGCTCAGCATGAAAAGAGCTTTTCTGGAGCATTTCAGTCCCGGTAGTGCAACTGAAGCAAACAATCAACGGGTGGCAAGTCACTGACAAAAGATCTCCGGGATAGATTTGTGGAGAGGCACAAGTCAGAAGATGGATACAAAAAAAAAAATGCAAAGGCTTTATCAATGCCTAGAAGCACAGTGAAGTCTATTGTTAAGAAGTGGAAGCTATTTAGTATAACACAAACCCTCCCTGGTTCAGGATGTTGCTCCAAACTGGATGAAAGAGCCAGGATGAAACTGATCTGAGAGGCTACCAAGAGGCCTACATCAACTCCGGAGCAGTTGCAGGAATTTATGGCAAAGAGTGGTCATTGTGTGCATATGACACTAATATCACAAATTACTTACAAATGTGGCTTGTATGGGAGGGTTGCAGGAAAAAAGCCACTCCTCAAGAAAGGTCACCTGTAGTCATGACTGAGCTTTGCCAAAATGCTCCTTGAAGATTCTGAGGCCATGTTGAAAAAGGAGTTATGGTCAGATGAGACTAACATTGAATTATTTGGCCTCAACACTAAACGATATGTCTAGCAGAAATCCAATACAGCTCACCATCCAAATAACACCATTCCTACAGTAAAGCATGGAGGTAGTAATATCCTGTTATGGGGGTGTTTCTCTGCAGCCAGGACTGGACCACTTGCCAGGATAGAAGAAAAATGGATAGGGCAAAATACTGCCAAATTTTTTAGGAAAATCTGCTGCCCTCTGCTAGAAAGTGTTCAGTGGGAAGAAGGTACCTTTTAACATGGCAATGACTCAAACCACACAGCAAAAATAACAACACAGTGGTTGAAGGAGAAAAAGGTAAATGTCCTTGCATGTACTAGTCAGAGCCCATAATTAAACCCCATTGAGAATCTGTGGAATGAGTGCAGCCCACAAATGGTCACCATCAAATTTAACTGAACTTGAGCAGTTCTGCAATGAAGAGTGGGCAAATATTGTAAAGTCTAGATGTGCAAAGCTAGTAGAGACATATCCCAACAGACTAAAGGCTGTAAACCAGTTAGCATCCGCCCTATAGCAGTTTTACTGCTACAAAGCGATTCTCTGAGCAAAATCACATATATAAATATATATGATCTGCGCTCCTGCTGTGTTCATGGACTGGGGGCGTGCACATACGTGACCAAAGATGCTATGACCAAAGATGCTATGATTTGGTACATCACTGATGATGTTTGGCTTGAACCTGCTGATCGGCTGTACTCAATCAGAGCTCAGCCTGTGCCTGTGTAAACATTACACAGGCACAGGAAATGATGCAATCTTCTCTCCCTGAAGCACATCCCGTTCCAGAGAGAGAAGAAAGCTGATCCTCATGAGTCAAAGCACTACACACACACACACAGTAAAAGCACAGCTAGGTCACATATGACCCCTTGATTGCCCCCCAGTTAACTGCTTCACTGCCCTGTCACAAGTGTCATTGGTACAGTGTACAGATTTTTTTACTGATCACTGTATTAGTATAACAGGCGACTTCAGATAGCATTAGCGTCAGTTAGCGTCCCTCCCAGATAGCGTCACATTGCCCACCACTACATCAGTCATCACATTTAACCTTTTGATTGCCAGGAACATGCTCACATACACAATAAACCTCCATTGCTAATATAGTATCTGAATGGATCAATATCTTTGATAAGATCAGAACTATATCAGTGTTCACAATAGTATAGTGTCCCCAAAAATGCAGAACTAACAGGATCAGCCCCAGCACCTGCCAGCACCTGCATTTAGCTCCTATGCTTAATCCCCCCATTCTCCCTCATCAAGTGCAGTGTCAGCAGCTCACTGTCACTTGATACATTGAACACAAAACTGAAGGGTTAGCAAGATCAGGCCTGATCTCTGCTAGCACTAGCAGGTACATTTTTTTTGTAGAGGTTCAAGCAGTCCTTGACAGCCAGGTGCTCTTTTCCCATGAGTCGTACTAGGTACCTATAAATTTAGTGACCAAAATGTCCAATGAAAGATACTCTAGTGAAGAGGCCTACAGGATTCTTAGTATGTCAGATGAGAGCGAAAAAAGGAAGGCTCAGAATACAAACATGTAGAAATAATGCCCTAACAACACGAAGCATCAGGCCCCGACCGTTACAACCTTGGCAGACTGAAGACACCAGAAATCTTAAATGACATAGTCGTGCGCTGGAGCGATTGTGGCGTAAAACCAAATCTCAACAAGCATTCACCCTATATAAATCTGCTTTCTTAACATACAATTCCTCCCTTCATGCTGCCAAACAAGCCTACTTTGTCACTCTTATTATACCTTGTCATCCAGTCCTCGTCGTCTCTTCTCTACTTTTAACTCTCTGCTTTCTCCACCTCCACCTCCACCCAGTACCTCACTCACTGCTCACGAGATTGCAAATCATTTCAAAAACAAGATTGACGCAATTCGTAGGGGCATCACTACTGCACAGACATCCATCCCACTTAGCATACCTTATACTAAACCTCCCTCAACACTTTCCTCTTTTGACCTTGCTACTACCGAAGAGGTCACTAAGGTTTTCTCAGAAGCCTGTCTCACTACCTGCCCCCGGATCCTGTCCCCTCACAACTACTACGGTCACCCTCTTCTTCCATCCTATGCTCCCTCACTCACATCTTCAATCTTTCCCTCTCTACTGGTGCCTTCCCCTCCCCTCTAAAGCATGCACACATCACTCCCATACTTAAAAAGCCCTCCCTGGACCCCACCAACCTGAACAACTTAAGACCTATCTCCCTGCTGCCATTTACCTCTAAACTCCTAGAACGCTTAGTCTACAATCACCTGAGCTCCCACCTCACTGACAACAACCTTCTTGACCCTTTACAGTCTGGCTTTCGCTCACTACACTCCACTGAAACTGCCCTACTAAAACTCACTAATGATCTACTAACTGCTAAAACCAATGATACTGTTGACCATCCCCTCCTCCTCAAAAAACTCCACTCTTGGCCTCAGAGACTCTGATCTCTCCTGGTTCTCCTACTACCTATCGCGGCTCTCCTTTAGCGTTACCTATAACGCTGCCTCCTCCTCTTTGCTCCCTCTTTCTGTAGGGGTCCCTCAAGGTTCTATCCTTGGACCCCTTCTCTTCTCCATCTGCACCTCCTACCCTGGTCACTTGATAAACTCCCATGGCTTTAAGTACAATCTCTATGCTGATGACACACTAATCTATCTTTCTACCCCTCACCTCACCCCTTCAGTCTCCTCTCGCATTACTAACCTACTAAGTGACATATCGGCATGGATGTCACTCCACTTCCTCAAACTCAATCTTTCCAAAACTGAGTTCTTAGTATTCCCCCCAGCCCCTGACTTCTCCATCAAGATCAATAACACAATCATCAGTCCCTCCCCTCATGCCAGGGTACTAGGTGTAATCCTAGACTCCCATCTATCTTTTCAGACCCAAATCCAATCACTGTCCAAATCTTGCAGACTTCACCTCCGCAACATCTCCAAGATACGCCATTCCTAACCTCTGAAACCACTAAGCAACTTATTCACTCCCTTGTTATATCTCACCTTGACTATTGTAACTCCCTCCTCATCACAGGCTATCCCCTCTTCAGTCTATCATGAATGCTGCTGTCAGACTCATCCACCACACTAACCATTCTGTATCTGCCACCCCTCTCTGCCAGTCCCTCCACTGGCTTCCCATTGCCCAACAGATAAAATTCAAAACATTAACAATAACATATAAATCCATTTATAACTCTGCCCCAAATTACATCACCGATCTTGTCTCCAAATACCACCCAAACTGTACTCTCCACTCCTCACAAGACCTCCTGCTCTCTAGCTCCCTTGTCTCTTCCTCCCATGCTCGTCTCCAGGACTTCTCCAGAGCTTCCCCCATCCTCTGGAACTCTCTACCCCAATTTATCAGACTACTCTGCTCACTTTTAGGCGATCTCTGAAAACCTGTCTCTTAGGGAAGCCTATCCTGCCTTAGCTAATAATGGAATCTTCTACTCTGCCAACCAGTCCATCCCCCACAGTTACTACCTTTTGTACCACTAGCCCCTCCTTCCTAGATTGCAAGCTCCAAGGAGCAGGGCCCTCCTATCCCTCTTGTATTGAACTGTATTGTTGCTGTATTGTCTCCCGTTATATTGTAAAGTGCTGAGCAATCTGTTGGCGCTATATAAATCCTGTATAATAATAATAACTAGAAAAGCTACAATTTCTGGGGAAATTGTGTGAAGTGTTCTTGCCTCCACCAGTAGTCTACAACTCACACTCTAGCTTTTGTCACTCTGCTGCCTGCTCACACACCTGGGTTCCAATGGCAACTCACTCTACAGCAAGGGCAGAGAAGAGTGGTTAAAAACAAACTGCTCCAACTTGCTCAGTTTACTGGCGGTTGCCATCTTCAAATGGTTGTAATTTAAAAATTATAAATCCTACAGCGAAGAGCTTTATATTGTGAGAATCACAAGACCCAGACCTACATTTTGATGCATAGTATGTCTCTGAAATATTACAAATGAAGGCACAGTCGCAGTTTAGAAATTGCCCTTCAAATTTGGTGGCTAGAGTGGAGTTTCAATGAATGTCAATGGGCGGCGTGAGTTGCAAACAAATGGTCATATTGTGAAAACTATCAGGACTATAGCTTAGCCGTGGACATTTTTAGTGGCAACAGGGATAGCTGAACGTTTTGATATACCGTATTTTTCGCTCCATAAGACGCACCTGACCATAAGACGCACCTAGGTTTTAGAGGCAGAAAACAGGAAAAAATAATTCTGAACCAATGGACTGCAGACAGTACAGGAGATGACCAGAGACTGCGGACAGCACAGGGATGACCAGAGACTGCGGACACAGTACAGGAGATGACCAGAGACTGCGGACACAGTACAGGAGATGACCAGAGACTGCGGACACAGTACAGGAGATGACCAGAGACTGCGGACACAGTACAGGAGATGACCAGAGACTGCGGACACAGTACAGGGATGACCAGAGACTGCTGACAGCACAGGGATGACCAGAGACTGCGGACAGCACAGGGATGACCAGAGACTGCGGACAGCACAGGGATGACCAGAGACTGCAGACAGCACAGGGATGACCAGAGACTGCAGACAGCACAGGGATGACCAGAGACTGCGGACAGGACAGGGATGACCAGAGACTGCAGACAGTACAGATGACTGCTGACCTTTGGGGAGGTGGGGAGCGAGTACCTGAATTTGACAGGTACCCGCTCTTACTTCCGCAGAGTTGTTCTTTGACCTTACCTGTTCCTCGATCCAGTCTTCCCGGCTTCTGTAATGGCGCTCGGCATGACAGCGAGAAGCACTTGCGCTTTGTGATTGGTCCGGCGGCTTCTGGGATCTGTCATGTGTCCCAGGTACCGCCTTACCATTCACAAAAAGCACCGCTTCTTGCGCATGCGCACTTGGCACCCAGCTGTCATGCATGAGTTAGGGTGGTAAATTTAGCTATAATAATAAGAATATATATGTGAGATAACGGTAAGTGGTCTTGCCATGCAAGAACACTTAATAATAGAAAGCAGCGGCACCCTGACAGATAGCTCAGACAATGGAATAGAGGTCCTTGCTAAGGTCACGCATACCCAGCCACATTCCCAGGTTGCTGAGGTGTTACAATTTCACTTGTGCCACTCTACCTTTTGGTGAACTGGCAAGATACCAGTATTGCAGTATCACTTGGTGATGTGGTGAGTCTCATAAGTGCAGTACAAGCTGGTGCGGTAGCTAGCAAAAGTAGGGCCCCCAGCCACCAAGAATTTGAACACAGGCCCCTAGAGCCCATAGTGTCCTTCTGTATGTGCTTGCAAATCCTGATTGGCAGCCCACAATTCTGCAGCACCCATACTTCCCCCATTCACTGCCCAACCCGGTATTCAGGTGGAAACAGCAAGTTTAACTAGTCCCCTTTGATTTTTTTAGAGCTGTTTTCCACGGAAGATCTGTATGGATTGATTGTGGATCAAAGCAATTTATATGTACAACAATAATTTTTTGCTATAAACCCAAATTCAATCTTTCCCAGACCATTTGTATGGAAACCTATTATAGTTTCTGAATTTAAAGTTTTTTTGGGCCTAACCTTCAACAAGGGCATTATTAAAAAAAAATTAATTGTGGTTGTATTGGTCCACAGATCTGATTCATCGAATGCCTGTGTTTTCTGCTGCCATGGCCATAGATATGAGACTATAATGTGATTTATGGATTTCAGTGATAACACATGCTGTCGTCCTTGGGGTGACCCTGAATTTGACTGGCTCCACAAAATTTGGCCCCTCCTAAATCCCCTTAACCAGAATTTTGCAGATGTCTATACTCCCCAGCAAAACATCTGCAGTGATGAGTCCCTTGTTAATTTTTCTGGCAGCCTTGCATTCAAACAATTTCTCCCAGCAAGTGTGCCAGATATGGGGTCAAAATATATAAGACCTGTGAGAGGGCAACAGGCTATACAATATGTAATTTTCGGATTTACGAGGAAAAAAGATAGTCACATGGAGCCCCCAGATGCTCAGACTATGTGGAGAGCAGTGACAAGACAGTTTGGGACTTGGTGTCACCCTTTTTCCAAATAGGGTACCACTTATACATGGACAATTTTTATACAAGCGTACCACTATTTAGACATTTGTACAATCTTGGAATTGGCTCATGTGGCACCATGCAACCTAATCACCAGGGCTACCTTTCTTAGAAAGGGGGAGAAAGCCTGCTTGACAAATGATTAATTGCTCGCAGTGCAGTGGAACGACAAACGGGATGTTTTCATCCGTTCTTCCATTTACACAGATACAACTATCCAAATTTCCATGGCAGCTGGTGCTCTTGAGCAGCCCCTGTGTCCGTCACTATAACCTTAACATGGGAGGGGTGGACTTCAATGACCAGATGATGAAACTGTACTTAATTTCCCATAAACCCAGACGCTGGTACAAGAAAGTGTCTGTATATTTATTTCAATTGGCTCTGTACAACACTTTTGTACTTTACAAAGCAACTGGACAAAGTGGATACTTCCTAAAATTCCAGGAAGAGATCATCATGCCCCTTTTGTATCCAGAAGTTGCTGTGGCCCAAACCCCCAACCCAGATGCAGTGAGCTGGCTGCATGAGAGCCATTTTCCTGATGACCATTCTTCTTTCAAAATTCTCCTTTTCAATTCTTCCTTGTCCTGGCCAATTCTTCTTCTCTTCTTCTTTTTCAGTTCTTCTGGTCTCTGTCACAAGGACTTCTGCTTCATTCTTCCTCGCTTTTCACATTCTTGGCTTCTTCTTCTTTTCATTCTTAACCATACATTAGTGGAGTATTAGAATAGGTACATTCTTCTGCATGGCACAGCCTAGGGCACCTGGGGTCTCAAAAGATGTAAGGTAGTCATTCTTCTTCTTCTTCTTTTCATTCTTCTTTTCATTCTTCTTCTTTTTCACTATTTTCAGACATATCCTTTTATTCTTACTTTCATCTTTTTCATCTTCTTCTTAGGTCATTCTTCTTTCTTCTTCTTCTTCTTCTTCTTCTTCTCGTCGTGCCCGTGACTGCCAAATGAGTGAAGTGTGATCGGTGATTCTAAGATCGACACGGCACTCATCTGCATGTCATACTGACTGACATGCTATTAATTTCTTCTTCCCCAGCAGAACTCCAAGGGCATTTAAATTAAAGGTACAACAGTGCTTCTCGCATCTAATATAAAGGGCTCTCTGAAGCCTAGGTAAAATTTGACGGGGGGGCAGTTTGCATGTAATTGCATCGCGAAGTTCTGCTCGAATTTTTGTAAATACATTTCGCTCATCTCTAACCCACAAATCCAAAAGTTACCTCAAAAAAGACTGCGGTTGTGTCTGTAACAAACACAGAATTAGACGTGGCACCTCTCTTTTTTTTTTTTTCAAAACCCTGGTCTCTGTCTAGGCTACCATACATTAGTGGAGTCATTAGAAGGTATGGGGTACAAACTGAACTCTGGGGTACTCAAAAGATGTTAGGTAGTCAGAAACTGAGACCCTTACATCTATAGGTTACAATTTTAAAAAAGTAAAAAGAAAAAAACATAAAAAATAAAAAAGTAAAAAAAAAAATAAAAAAGCCAAAAACAGTTTTATTGAGTTACTCTTTTGTTGTCATTGTTTTATTCTTAACCATTGCTGTTTTCTTTGCAGGATGCAGCTGCAGGCATCATCCTGGTATCGTTTTTTTCAGCCGGCGATCAGATTTAATGTAAATCTTAGTGGCTAATTAGCTGCAAGATTGCTTTTCCAAGTAGTGGGAGGAGATGCCCCCCATCCCCCGCTGCCTTTTATGACTTTCTCAGGCAGTCCCGTACCCTCGGAGAACCTGAGAATGCAGCTGGCATTTCTGCCAGCTCAACATAGAACTGATTGGAGACCAGAATGGTGCCAATCATCTCTATAGTGTAAGAAACTGGAAGCTTCGAGCATTTCATCACTTCGATTTCACTTGATATAAACAGCACCATTTTTAAATTGGGAAAGCATCTGATCATACCGATCTTGGTGAGATCAGATGATTTAAGGGCAGAGGAGATATCTAGAGTCTAATAGACCCCATATTTCTCAGAAAAAAATACCCGTCACTGACTATTGCTATAACAGGGTGTATTTACATTCCCTGTGAAAACAGTAAAAGTGATCAAAAAGAAAAAATTATTAGGGACAGTGTAAAAAAAAAAAAAATTTTCAGCACCCAACGGCATGCACAAGCTTTGGCCTTGTGCCAGTATGTAAACAGCGGTTGCACCATGCATGTGTGGTATTGCCGCGAATGTCAGATTGAGAGCAGTAATTATAGCACTAGACCAACTGTGTAAATCTAAAATGGTAGCCTGTAAAGGCTTTTTAACGTGTAGCCTATGGACATTAAAAATGTATGTAGCTAAAGCATGTCATGTTTTGTATCTATTTACTCGGCATGCCATCATCTTTTATATTTTACCAAACAATTGGCCAACAGTTTGTGTTTTTTTTTCATTAAAATTCCAAAAAGTGTATTTTTTAAAAAAATTTGCATTTGAAGAATCGTTGTGCAAGTACAATGTGACATAAAACAATTGCAAAACCCACCATTTTATTCTCTAGGGTGTCTGCTTTTAAAAAATATATAATGTTTGGGGGTTCAAAATAATTTTTTAGCAAAAAAATATAGATTTTTTTTCATGTGAACAAAAAGTGTCAGAAAAGGCTTGGTCTTCAAGTGGTTAGAAGAGTGAGTGATGTGTGGCATCAGCTTCTGATGGGCATAAGTTGCCAAGATAACAACCCCTCCCACCCCCAAATGACCCCTTTTTGGAAAGCAGACACCGCAAACTATTTTCTGAGAGGCATGTTGAGTCAATGAAAGAATTTATTCTTTTTTATCGTTTTTTTACCACAATTTTTTGGAAAATTACAAAAAAAAAAAATTTTTTTACACAATGTTGTCACTTAAATGATATATTGGTCACACATTCATGGGTATATGTGGCATTACTCCCCAAAATACATTCTGCTACTTCTCACAAGTATGGGGATACCACAAGTGAGAGACTTTTTGGCAGTCTAGCCGCGTACCGGACCCCAAAATCCAACAAAGACCTTCAGGCTTTTAAAGGGCTTTTTTTCCTCATTACACTTCCTGACTACCTATCACAGTTTCTGAGACTCTGAAATGCCAGAATAGTATCAACCCCCCAAAATGACCCCTTATTGGAAAGTAGACACCCCAAGGAATTTGATAAGAGACATGGTGAGTATTTTGCAGATCTTGTTTTTTGTCACAAATCTTTGGAAATGAAGAAAGAAAACATATATTTTTTCTTTTCTTTTTTTTTTCGATTTTAAAGCCTTGTGAGAAAAAATTAGATATGCAAAATACTCACCATGCCTCTTATTAAATTCCTTGGGGTGTCTACTTTCCAAAAAGGGTCATTTGGTGCGGGGGGGGGGGAGGTTTTGTTATCTTGGCATTTCAGGGCCTCTGAAACTGTGATAGGTAGTGAGGAAGTGAAAATGAGGAAGTTATACATCTTCAGGTTTTCATAGGGGTCATTGGATTGTAGGCTCCTGCATGTGGATAGGCCTCCCAAAAAGTCTCATACATGTGGTGTCCCCATACTCAGGAGAAGTAGTAGAATATATTTTGGGGTGTAATTCC